TCCCGATCTCAACCCAATAGAAAATTTGTGGAGTATAGTTAAGGGAAAGGTTGAAAAACGTTGGCCAAAAAATTTAACTGAATTAGAGTGGTTTATGGTAGAAGAATGGGAAAAAATCCCAGAAAGTATTTTAGAAAACTTGGTGGGATCCATGAAAGAACGATGCAAACTTATAATTGAAAAAAATGGGGAACGTATCCCATATTAAATGTATTAAATTTTTTTTTAAATAAATCTTTAATCAATCGGCTTCTAATGAGCCATTGTACATGTGATGTGACGCAGTAGTTTTTGAATTATTAACGCGTGAAGTTGTCCAAAGACTTTCTTAACGCACTGTAAATTGCTTGCGGATGTGTTTTATAATTCATCGGAGTTGTAACTATTGTATCTGTTTTTGTTTGATTTTTGGAAAATTCTTCAGCTTCTTTAATTTGAATTGTAATTTTACTATTTTCATTAAAATAATCACTATAATATTCATCTAACACTTTAGCTAATTCATCAAAAGTGGGTCGATGTGTAATTCGGGCATCCCAACATCGCATAATTAATTGTGTAATTAATTTAGGCATGTGAAATGGAATTTTTGGTCGAAATCCATTACGTATATTGAAAGCCAAATCTTTATCATATGACACATCGTGATACGGAGAAAGTCCAGTCATAAGCAACAATTGAAAATGAATAAACATCAGCAGCCTTTGTATATTCTTCACCTCTTAATATTTCAGGGGCGATATATGGTAATACTCCAGAAATGGTATTCTTTTGGAGATTTTTTATGTTTGCTGTAATTAATTTACTCAATCCAAAATCTGATATACATAATGAATCAGAATATTTACTATCCAGCAAAATATTTCCGGGATGAAAATCACAATGAACTATATCTAATTTATGAATTTTCGAAAGTTTTTTAGCTAAATCTTTTAAAAGTTCTAATTTTCTTTCCAACTGATGATATTAAAATTATTGTTTAAATGATTTCTAAGACTTCCATCTTCATAATAATCTAAAACCGTCATATATTCGTGAGTTACTGGATCTTTTGTAATTCCATTAAGATAGGCTGATTGATCGTCACCATTTGTTCTCAATAAAATTACCATCTAAATAGCATATTTTTAAATTATAATTATACATTTTCAAATAAATTTTTATTAATTTAAAATATTGCTTTACCTCATTTAAAAAACTCTCATTTATATCTATAATTCCATCAAATTTTTTCAACGTCACTTCAGTTTGACCTCTTCTTTTCCATTGCTGATTTTTAATACTCCACTTAATAATACATCCATCAACCCACTTAACATAATAAATAGTACCATAACCATCTTTTGCTATTTCAAATCTATCATATGGTATCCATTCTATTATCAGAATTTAGTTGAGAATCTTGAATAAATTTGTCTATTGTATCATTTCCGCTTGTCCATTTATCAAAATCGCTTTTGAAATGGTTTGAGATGCACGGTTTGCACCAGTGATCATAATATTCTTGATTGCATTCTAGACATATTTTAGACATTTTCTGTTCGTTATAGTACGTAAGATTGAAGTTTATTCTTTTTTTAATAAAAAATATAAAATAAATTTGTGTTTCGATAAATTTTTATTTATCATTTATATAAGATTTTTTTTAAAAAAGGTAGTATTTATGCTAATTATTTGTCAATCGGAGTTTTTATTCGGAATTTAGAAATTTTAGGAATTTTCTTGTTAAACAGGTATAACACACGCCATAAATTAAATTTCAGATTAAAGAATATGTAAAATCTAATAAAAGTCTTATCAATTTTAACAAAAAAGATACAAAATGGTAGTGGTGGTGGTGGTGGTTATTGGTCTGATACCCGCCACTCTAGTTTATATGTAAAATTAAAGGACAATGAATTTCGAATAAAATGTGCATTATTTATTACTAATTTTAACGATCCAAATATAGTGGTTAAAGTGGGGGGAGGCAGATGGCGTGTTTGATCAACAAAAATGGCAAGGGAATTCATTACTGTTTTGTTTTCGGATGCAATAGGATCTTGGTGTGAATTATTTCAATTCACTTGAACATATTGATAATGATGATAATGAAATGACATTATTAGTAAAAAATCATCACAAGAATTTGATTTCGATACTAAAGAAAAAAATTGTTAGAATATCAATGATAAGGGAACAATTATCCTCTTCAGCGTCCCGCTCAAAATAAGAAATGCTATCAGAACAAGCTGATTTAGTAAGAAATGAGATTATTTAGAAGATTATGATCGTTTGATCTCTCAAGTTAAATATCAATATAAAAACTTTTACATAATAATTAATACAATTTACACGATTTAGCTAGTTTATCCTATTTAAATAATTTACACAATTTACAATTTATCGAAAAAATAATAAGACAAGAAACATTTGACAAGGTTTATTCAATTTTTTTCCGAAAAATCATTACAGCAAGTTAGTGCGGGACTCCTAGGCCTTCCAGCTCAGCCTTTCCAGGGAAGCAGGCAAAAATGTGATATGAATACCATTGTGAATCTTTTCTTTCTGATTAATCTCATCGAAATAATTCAAGATTACATATATTTTAGCGTACATGAAAATTTGCATCGCACAATTCAATTGATTAATATTCTTTTGAAAATAATAATTATGATCCTTTTTTTTTTAAAAGAAGGACAAAGGTAAATACAATTGTTCCAGTTTATAATAAAGATAATGAGAGATAAATTTAACAATAATTATTAAATAATAATTATTGCATTAATAATTGTAAAAATAACTAAGTATCGTATCGGTTATTATCTTCATATAATAATCATTAATATTAATAATTATCTTTTTACGAATGAGTACATTCTCTTTACGATCTATAGTTTCCTCTCGAAATAATATTCCAAGGTTAAATAAGGAATAAGATTTGGTATAGTAATGAATTAATCTCTTCATATATAATCATGTCATACTATCAATATTATTGCTATTACCAGACAGGTAGTTGTTTACCATTTTCAGTAATTTCTTTTATATCAAGATTATTATTATATTTTTTTTTTCCTTTTGAGATGATATTTTTTTTTGCTGGTGGTGTTACTAACGATAAAATGTCTAATTAGAGAGAAGTTGATAATTATTATTTGTATTACCATCATTAATGCTTGACGATGGTGATGATTCCATATTTTATTAGGTCAAATCACATTTTTTTACAAAACCCAACAATTTAGAATTTAGAGAGAGAAAAAAAGTATTGCTTCATCAAGGATAAAGAATTTGTATTTCCAAATAACTAGTAGATATATATATATATAATAATTATTCTTTAAATTAAAATCTAGTTTAATATGTCAACAGATAGAAAAAATATGCAATTTAAAGATATTTTATAAAAAAAACCTGTTGATCTGACGCTTCCATCCAGTATTTGCGACGATATTTTATAATTGAGAATACATAATGCAGGAAGCTCTAATATTTTCAATATTTTTATAGTCTCTGGCTTTCATTTTTAATCAGTGAATCATATTATCACAACCCAAGATTAAATAAATTAAATAAGTTTCCTTAATAAAGTATCAATGTTATTAAATTTTTAACATGGGAGTAATTTTCTAAATTATATTTATGGGAGCTCATTTATTAAGTTTTCCATTTTTATTTTTTATTTTTTTAAACTTTCTAATATATAAAATAATATAAAATAAAATGTAATATTATACTCTTTATACTAACGTTTCCTTTAAAATATTAGAGTATGATTATTTTTTCGTTTGACTTTAAATTTTCCATCCTCATACTCATAAATAGGTTTTAACTATTAGAACAATATTATAAGAATTAGACTTTAAAGTAATTGATTCATAGGGTTTATTAAATTAGGATCTATAAATTAAAAAAATTCAAAAAATTTTAAAATTTGTAATCGATCATTTTTAAATAAAATTATCGAAGAATATACCTGAAGATTTTCCAGATTTTATATCTTCCAATAAATCATTCAATCCATGAAAAGTATGAATATAGCGGCTAATATAACATGATTGTAGGTGTAACTTAATTGAATGTGAAAGTAATTCGAATAATTCTTGCTTTTGAGATTTTGATGTATTTTTTTGATTTTCATCAGCAATTTCAAGCTGTCGCATAACATTATTATCCACTGTATTATCATATAGTTTTCTTGATATGTCCCAAAATAATAAAACTAATTCATCAGTTGTTGGACGTTCAGAAGGATCATCACTCCAACATCGATACATCAACTTTAGATACCATTCTGGAATCCAATTTAACATAAAATCAGGAACCTTTGGTCTTACACCATTACATATATCCATTATCAAATAAGTATCGTGTGCTTGGTCAGCAAATGGTCGTTGTGCGGTAACTATTTCATACATAATTCCACCAAAACTATAAATATCACCCTTGTAAATTCATTTCCTCTTAACACCTCGGGTGGAAAATATGGAATTGAGCCATTAAATTTATTAATTTTGTCATCGGAGTTTAAAATTAAGTCAATTTCTATATATGCGCCAATATCTATTTTTAATATAACGCATTCAGCACACAAAATATTTATTATCAAAGCATTTCCACTATGAAGGTCACAATGAATTAAGTTTTTTTCATGTAAGCTTGTAAGACCCCATGTTATTGACAATAATATTTTTAATTTCGTTACCCACTTTAAATACCAAAAGGTTTTAGTTAAAAAAGTATGTAAATCATAACCAAATGAATCCATAACGAGAATGTAGTTTTGTGTGGAAGGATTTTTTGAAATTCCATAATATTCAGCAATAAATTTTGAATTAATTACAGTCTTTAGCTTAATATTAAAATATTAAATTATAAATTAATAAATTACAAAATATTAATAATTTTAATAACTTATATTTAAATATAAAAAGACGTACTGTATGTACATACCACCGCTTTAAGAAATCCAACCATATCAATCCTAGAATCTTTTATTTCTCTCAAAGCAACGTTGTTGCCCATCAAAACATATTCCCAATCCTGTTTGAGAAAATTCCATTCCATTTTGCTCTATTTTTTACTTTGGCGGAATACAAAGATCCATGGCGAACATCTGCTATGTGTTTAATATTTAGAAAATCTTCAAAAGGTATCCATTGGAAATTTTGGTAAACGTTATTTATTTGAGATTCTTGGATAATCTTATCAATGTTAGCATTTCCACTAGACCAAGTCTTAAATTCTTGGATAAAACGTTCCCGAGAACACAAATCACATATTCCATCTTCAAGATTAAATTTTATTTCGTTGACCAGAACATAAATCTTTAGAAGAATGACCTGCCGGGCAATAATCTATTTTTTCTATTTTTTGAGACATGGGAATTAAAATGAATATTTTGTATATTATTTATTTTTCTAATAATTCATTGTTTGTTTAATGGTAATCATTGCCTTTTCTGATTAAATTACTTTATTGATTTTACGCAGTAATCCAACTTTTCCTCAAAATTTGAACTTTTTTTATTTATTTTTATAAACATAACATAATATATGACAGACTCCAAATTTCTTGAATATCTTTACAGTTAGTCAGCGAAAACATCTTTACGTGATCACTTTTTTGATGTTACCTTATATTATTTTTTAAAAAAACTTTAAGCAAATAATAACTGGAGAAATTATTAAAATATCAATCAATCAATATTGTACCGAACAAACAATCCATAAATGTAATAAATGTAATAAGGTATATGAACTAAAGATAAATTAAGACAGGAAGGCCATTTTTATTATATTCATTAAAGAAAATCGTTGTAAGAAATTTAAATGTAGGGAAAAATGGAAAGAATCTCGTTCACTTGAGGTAAAATATTTGTAAGAAGGAAATTGGTCACTTGAAAGTAACAATTTATAAAATAAAGGGATCTAGATAAGTGAAATATTTTCAAATACGCGTTAAGAAGTACGTTGATGTACAGCAAAGGGTAAAATGATGAAATTAAATTTCATCACACTGCCAATGATATAGTAACTAAACATTTGATTTCAATATTTCCCTCATTGAATAAATAACATCTAATTGCATCTTTGTAGGAATCACATCACATTGCTATTTTTTTACTTAATACAATAATTGTCGTCATTATTTACAGGCTCACTCTGTAAAATTATTTGTCTTCAAATTTCTTGAATGAACGCTTAATTTCAATATTTTCAATTTTGGAAATTTTTTGAATTTTCTTTTTGAGGTGAGGCATTTTTGCAAAATTAACATTAAGAAAAACCACCATTCAACTTTTCAGAATTATAATTTTTAAGATTTAAAAATTTTCATTAAAAGATTCGTGGCCATTTGAAATATTACAAGAATATGGGCTATTTTGAGACACAAATTCTTTAATCTTAATTTTGATATTATAATTAGATTATAATTTTGTCAGCCATTAGTAATCTTACGACGTAGTACCGGAGTAATAGTAATACGATTGCTTCCAAGAGCCAATGACAGGAATATTGACCGGATAAGAAGTTTCATCTGTCATTATTGAGATCTTTCAAGAGGCTATTAACAATGTGTCGATGAATCAATCCTTGTCCAGTTTTATCACACATCAGCAAGTAGTTTCCACTCCGTGTTGTGGCGTAACTATCGTTCATTTCTTATCTACAATTGACATTAACCCACTAATTGATGTTTCAATATCACATGGTTTTGGGCATGGATTCATATTGAATTGAAATGATCCAAATTTCAACGGAGTGCAAGAAATCAACCAGAACCCCATTTATAAGGCCAATTATCATTGAGCATTGATTCTACTATAAAATTATTAGTGTCAATAAATTATTGTTTGATTGTTAGGAACTGGATCAACCTTGGCCCAAATATGAGAACAAATAATGAAATTTCGAAAGGAAAGAGAAAATCCACATCGAGAACTTTGTTGTTATTTCAGATGAGACTCATTTATGATTATTATAATCATTATTATTATTTGAATCTAATTTATCTAATAAGGGATTAGTTAAACTCTATTAGCACTTATTAATTTAATCGAAAAATCATTGTTAACTCACCTGTTGAACTGATTTCAAGTAATAATCAAAGCCTTCAAATTTATGCTAATCATCACTATTTCTTTCTTTTCCAGATTTTGAATGCCACCAAAATATTTCTCCCCATCTTCTAACTTATGTTCTTACTGCCATGATACTTGGACACGCGATTATTAAGGTTTTTGATCTATTGAATAATATTCATTAGTCAAAGATTAGAGTAGGTAATATATGGAGAATTTTGACCAATATTCAATTGTTAATCAAGTTTCAAAGTTAAACTCCTCCACAATTGACTATGACTGACTATGTGGTGCTAGGAGAGTTTGAATCTGTATTCTCAATTGAAGATCAGAATAAGCTGAATTTTAATGATTGGGGTAGGAGATTTTAGATCGTCATTACAAGTTGAAATGAGCATATAGTTATTATTTGATTTTGAAACCATAATTTTAATAATTGTGAATCTGAGTACTTAATATGCCCGCACGCAATTAATTAATAACTGGTTAGAGAAGTGTTATTTGATCAACGTAATGATTATGAAATAAATACTCTCACTCTATAATTTGATAATGAATTAGTAAACATTATTCATTATAAAATTGATCAAAATGTTGATTTTAATAATTGTTAATTTTAATACTCACGAACTGTAATATGATGTGAACACAATTGAATGATTATTAATTAGAAATTGTTATTTGATGAAATTAATTAAATTGATTTTGACAATCACAAAATCACGATTTACAAACCTTAATGGCTGGAACTCAGTATTTGTAATGCATAAAAAAATTGCGATATTTTATTCATAATTACAAAACTTTATATTTAGTGTTAATATTTTATAATATTAAAAAATCAATAAATAGTGCCTTATAATTAATTAAGTAAAATACAAATAAAAAATATATAACGTTAAATAAAATTTATAAATTATATGTATTCGAATCATCATCTAATTAAAAAATAAATAAATAAAAATGAATTAAATTAATAATCATGTCTTGAAATGAAATATAAAATATACTTGACATTTACCAGCATTTATTTGATAAAACGATTCTGTTAATTCTTCAAGTTTCTTTTTGAAATTTTCATCATTTTTAGGTTTTGGAAGATTTGAAAAATTGAGAAGTCGACTGGTATAAATTGCTTGCGGATGTGTTTTATAATTCATCGGAGTTGTAACTATTGTATCTGTTGTTGTTTGATTTTTGGAAAATTCTTCAGCTTCTTTAATTTGAATTGTAATTTTACTATTTTCATTAAAACAATCAATATAATATTCATCTAAAACTTTAGCTAATTCATCAAAAGTGGGTCGATGTGTAATTCGGGCATCCCAACATCGCATAATTAATTGTGTGATTAATTTAGGCATGTGAAATGGAATTTTTGGTCGAAATCCATTACATATATCAAAAGCCAAATATTTATCATGTGACACATTGTGATACGGGGGAAGTCCATTGATGATTTCATAAGCAACAAATGCAAATGAATAAACATCAGCAGCCTTTGTATATTCTTCACCTCTTAATACTTCAGGGGCGATATATGGTAATACTCCAGAAATAGTATTCTTTTGGAGATTTTTTATGTTTGCTGTAATTAATTTACTCAATCCAAAATCTGATATACATAAAGAATTAGAATATTTACTATCCAGCAAAATATTTCCGGGATGAAAATCACAATGAACTATATCTAATTTATGAATTTTTGAAAAATTTTCAGCTAAATCTTTTAAATGTTCTAATTTATTTTTCCAACTGATATCATTAAAATTATTTTTTAAATAATTTCTAAGACTTCCACCTTCATAATAATCTAAAACCATCATATATTCGTGAGTTACTGGATCTTTTGTAATTCCATAAAGATAGGCTGACGACCTTTCACCATTTGTTATCGAGAAAATTGCCATCTAAAGCACATTTTTTTTAAATTATTAATTAATAAAATATATTTTCAAATAAATTTAAAGTATTACTTTACCTCATTCAAAAAATTTTCATTTATATCTACAATGCCATCAAACTTTTTTAACACCACTTCAAATTGACCATATCTTTTCCATTGTTGATTTTTAATATCCCAATTTCGAATATTCCCATCAACCCACTTAGCATAATAAATAGTACCATAACCACCTTTTGCTATTTGTTTAATGTCTTGAAATTTACCATAAGGTATCCATTCTATTACTTTATCATAATCAGCAATTAGTTGAATATCTTGAATAAACTTATCGATTGTATCATTTCCGCTTGTCCAATTATCAAAATCATTTTTAAAATGTTTTGAGATGCACGGTTCGCACCACTCATAATTACGAAGATTGTATTTTTCATTGCATTCTAGGCATATTTTATACATTTTCTGTTTGCAAGATGGAAGTTTTTTTTTAAAAAAAAATTAAAAATCAAAAAGAAATAAATTTGTGTATCAATAGATTTTATATTTATCGTAAAAACCGGAATAATATTTTAGCATTATTTATGCGTACTATTCCTTAATTATATTTGTCAATCGGAGTTGTTATTCAACATGACCGAAATTTAGCAACTTTAGGAATTTCTAGTTACGTAAACAGGTAACATTAAAATTATTAAATATGTAATATATAGATTTGTTTTTTGTCATCTTGTGTCACAATGTTATGATAGTTAACCTAACCCCGATTCTAATGTTTGTAATATATAAAAACATTTTTTAATCAATTTTGCGGGTAAGCATTGCATTAAACCTGTATATACTGTATTTAGTTATGATGATGTTAATTGAAATATTTTAGAGTATATTAGGATATATGTAATTGTATATTAATATTTCTAAAATGTATATGTATTTTATAGAGGTGAAACTGATGAGCAATTAATTGACATAAATGAATCGATTAAGTGAATATGGAATCAAGTCAATTCTTGGTTTTATCAGCGAATCTGATGAAAGATCATCTTCACCATCATCGTAAGATAAAGAATCTCTTAATATGAAATATGATAGAAATGTATTTGAGATGTAATTTTTATCATTTAATTTTGATATTGAATTCTTTTTTAATCAATTTGTATTAATCGTAATTTAATTAGGATTATTGGTGAGAATGATAAGAATAATAATTTCAATGATAATTTTCTTAACAGCAAATTTGATAAATAAGAGGGGAGAAAAGATTATCAATTGATAAAATAGAATTGTGAATTTCGGTCAATTGTATGGTAATTATATATATTTATACATATTATTTATTTATATTATTTGATTGAGATTAATTTAATATTCCTTATTGTTAGGAATGTGTGATATATTACTTCACTTTCAAGGCGATATCCTGTATACAAATGTATAGCATATGGAGAGTGAGTGCGATAATGTTGGTATAGGATAATATGATTTTATTGATTTTATTATTTAAATTTATTTAAATTTATTAATTCTTATTCTTAATTATTTTTAATTATTTTATTTATTATTTTAATTAATTGATTTAATCGATTTAATGAGTTTTTAATAAGACGATCGGTTATTGGATTATTATGGAATGAATTAATCAATAGATTTTAAATTTAGAAAAACTTATGAATTAACTAATTGATTAATTTATGTAATGAATTTTGTTATTGATTCTGTAGTTAAGTTAGTTAGTTAATTTTTTATTTTTATTTTTTTTTATTTTTATTTATTATTTATTGTTTATTATTTATTATTTATTATTTTTATTTTTATTTTATACCTCTTGACGCGTTTTTCAGAATCGGCTTAGATATTTCAGTTGATTGTTTGAGATGATGATGTTTCCTTCTCTACAACAACAGATTTATTAGCATCAGTAAAAATATTAATAATATATAAATTTATTTTTTTATTAATTATTATTTTTTTAAAATATAACTAACACTAACAATAAACTGAGAGATAAATAAGACGGAATCTGGCAAGTAGAAATTAGAAAAAAACGCTGTAGAATATCTTATTCCTTTCCTCCCATGTTTTATATGAAAGGATGGAACGGCGGACATAACCGTCAAAAAAATATAAATTTTACGAGGTAAGCTAATATATAAAAAAATTACCATAAATGCAATAATGTTTTTTATAATTATTATCAACCTAGGTTGCGTAGTTTAAGTGCGACATTACCACCCACGAAGAATGATAACTTTCTTTGGGATGATATTTTAAGATTAAATTGGCTCTGACTTGACATTTGAACAAGCTTTACAAATTGAGGTTAAACTACTTGTAAGATATTAACGCAATTATTATTCGAACTTTCTATTAATTTTTTATTATTTTTAATTGAATGAAAATGTTTTGTTGCACCTAAAGTTATATTTGGATCCCAATTCAATTCCGGATTGAATTCATTTTAAATTCTAATTTAATACCTTCGAGAGAAAGTTAATTCGTTATTCGCTAGAAACGAAAAGGATTTATTATGGATTTCGGGGAAACTTTTCCAATTATATAAAAATTAATTTTTTAATCGTTAAAAAAAATAGATAGCTCTTTTTTTTTTATTGACGTTGTCATTTTAAACTAAAATATGTTTAAATCAAAGCCATTGGTCTTTATTAAGTTAATGGAGAAAGGGACTTTTATAAGATAGTTCTTGTGATATTCTTATTATTATCTTACATATAGATCTCTTTCATGAGCAAATGATGTTCATTTTGGATGAGGTATTTTTAATATTCTTAACTTTTATAAGTATTTCAATTCATTTAAAATTTTATTTGATTGTTATTTTAATTTATGGTGATAGTAACTTGATAAAGAAATCAAACCAGAGTTTCGTCTGTTAAATCAAAACTCGCCAATTATTAATAAAGGATGAATCTAGTAAATTCAATTAAAATATTCTATAATTTATCTTAATAATTTTATTAATATGTTAATTTAAAAATCGATGATGCTTAGCGATAAAGAAGGCCTTTGAATCTGGATAAAATCAATAAGTTTTAGTATGATTGTTTATCTGTTGAAAGAGAAAGGCGTGAGAGTTATCAATTAAATTATTTATTTAAGTTCCATTTATTTGACATTAAATTATTATCTAAATTTTATTTATTTTGAAATTAATTATTTTATAGGATCCATTGATAAATACTACAAAATATTCCACGATATAAATGATAGAAAAGGATATTACAATAAACTATAAACCAGATGATTGTAAAACATAATCTGATTAATCAATAACAGCGAGATCAACGGATGCACAATTAAATACTGGGATTGTTCCATCACAACGGTTAATTATGTTTCCAATTAAGTCACAAATGGTGTTGTAGACAAATGGGTAATATGTTCCAAAAAATAATAATATTCCAATGCGAACAACCAATAGAATTCCAAATGATCATAAATATTTTATGACAAATGATTAATCTAATCCAATTCAAAGATGACTAATTCGACTCAAAATTCTGGTGTAATGGTTGAGAATATTCCAAGGCAAATTTACTCAAAACTTCCCTGTAATGTCTGACTCTCATGCGATCATTAATCAGGTTCAGAGAAAATCAAGTCCAATACAATACAATGGTGACAATGATGATGCGCAAATATACCAGTTCAAGTAACCAATCAAATATGTCAATGCATATTGAAACTATTTGCGTCAACAATATTGTATATAAAATGGACAGAAATCACGACAATAAATTAATCCACAATATCAAATCAATCAACAGCAACATCAGGAATTCTTTCATGTGGGTTTACTAGTTCTTTATTTTTGGGTAGATCCAAATAAATATGAAATTATATTATTTTTAAAATTTTTATGATGATAAAAATATAAATTTATTTTTAAACTTTATTTTCACAAAAAACATTATTCGAAATAACAAATCACTTGAAAGCATATATTCGCCATCAGGTACATAATGTAATGAAATTTATTATGAAAATATGTAAAATAATGGTTGAAAATTCGCCATGTGAAATATAAAAAACTTAAAATAGTCCAATAATTTTTGGAATTTTTTTTTTTGCATTTTTCAGATTTTTAATTTTTTTTAACATTTTAAACATCAAAAATTCATTTTACCATTAATGTATTTTAATGATTCTAATGAATATCATAAGTATTGACGTTTAAAATAGTTGATTCATTAGACTTTAATACATTAGGATCTAAAAATATTAAAAATTTTAAAATAATTTAAAATACTGTAATTAATCATATCAGATATATTAAAATAAATTGTTCAAAAATATTACCTGAAGATTTACCAGATTTTATTTCTTCCAATAAATCATTCAATCCATGAAGAGTATGAATATATCGGCCAATATAACATGATTGTGGATGTAACTTACTTGAATGTGCAAATAATTCTAATAATTCATGCTTTTGAGATTTTGATGTATTCTTTTGATTTTCACGAGCAATTTTAAGTTGTCGCATAACATCATTATCCACTATATTAATTTGAAGTTTTACTAATACGTCCTGAAATAAATCCACTAATTCATCAGTAATTGGACGTTCAGAGGGATCATCACTCCAACATCGATACATTAAGTTTAAATACCATTCTGAATCCAGTTTAACATAAAATCAGGGACCTTTGGTCTTACACCATTACATATATCAATCATCAAATAAGTATCATGTGCTTGGTCAGCAAATGGTCGTTGTGCAGTAACTATTTCATACATTATTCCACCGAAACTATAAATATCACCCTCTCTCGTAAATCTATTGCCTCTTAATACCTCAGGTGGAATATATGGAATTGATCCATAAATTTTGTCACATTTTAAAATTAAATCATTTTCCAATTCACATAAATCTAAATCTATGACAGAATCAATGCCGTCATTTAAAATATTTCCACTATGAAGGTTACAATGAACTAAATTTCCTGCATGTAAGATTCTAAGACCCGCAGCTATTGAAAATAATATGTCGTTTTTTTGTTTCCACCCTAAATCCCAAAAAGTTTTCGTTAAAAGATTATGTAAGTCAACATCAAATGATTCCATGACAATAATGTAGTTTTGTGTAGAAGGATTTTTTGAAATTCCATAATATTTAGTAATAAAGTCATAACCATCAAAATCATAAATTGTCTTTATCTTAATATGAAAAATTAAGACAAATTAATAAATTAGTAAATATTAATTGCTGTTCAACATAGTTTCTAAATATAAAGAAGCATACCATTTTCAAAAATTCAGCTATATCATATCTGGAATCTTTTATTTCTTTTAAAGCAACTTTACAGCCTATGAAATCATACTTCCAACCCTGTTTGATAAAATTCCATCCAATTTTTATTTCATTTTTAAACTCGGCAGAATACACAGATCCACGGCCGCCATCTACTATGTGTTTGATATCTTGAAAATCATCATAAGGTATCCATTGCAACTTATCGTAAATGTTATATATTTGAGATTCTTGGATAATCTTATCGATGTTAGTATTCCCACTAGACCAAGTTTTAAATTCTTGGATATAATGTTCGTGAGAACACAAAAAACATATTCCTAAATCAAATCTAATGCAATTTCGTCGACCAGAACACAGATCCTTAGAAGAATGACCTGCCGGACAATACCTAATTTCTTCTATTTTTTGAGACATGAGAAATAAAGAAATAAAAGGAATATTCATTTTTGAAATTTTTTTATTCCAAATTTATATAATTCGTTGTTTAAGGTTAATCATTGCCTTTCCGGTTAAATTTATTTGTGAAATTACTTTATTAATCCGCAAAGCCAGTACGATTATCAACCAATAAAAATAAAACACATGATTTAATAATAAACACATGATATCCAGGTGATCGAAATTATTTCGCGTGTGATAAATATCCGATGACGAATCTTAGGTGACAAATATGTTTTTCGGATGTAAAAAAATTCTAAGTCCGTAGTATATCTAATAAAAATCGATGCACTCGGTGATAAGTACACTACCCATGGAAAATCCCAATCTTATCCCTTTTTTGGTATAGGTTATGGTGTGTGTGTTCAACACCACTGGTTAATAAAAAAAATTGACTAAAAATCAAATAAGATAATATTGATATTTGATTTGAATTTCCAAAAATTTCCATTTCTCTTATTTTTTAACTTTCTTTCAAATTTACTGGGAATCATAGTTCAAAAAATTTTTAATGCCATTTTTCTGATTGCTTTGGATTCCGATCCCCAACAATATTAGTAAATGACTCATTAGACTTTAATAATAGATTATGATATATAAATTAAATGATTTAACTTTTATAATTATTTATTAAAATGAACATTATTATAAAATGGTACCTGCTGATTTTCCAGAATAATTCTGGTTTTTGAGATTTGAATGCTTTTTTTATTTCCAATAGAATTACAAGTTTTTTGAATAATGTTATTATCCCGATATTTCACGCAAAAATAGTTCTGCTATGACAATGGACTAATTATTGTGTGTATACTTTCAAAGACCCAATGCAATCGTAATATGCTTATTCTATTTCCCACCCAAATTTTTTTGTTAAAAATCACGTTAGATATCGTAAAAGTCTTATCTATCCAAAACCTTTGGATTTTAAAAGCAATGTGTTGCAACCCCATGATATTTAACATTGGAATAATAGTAAATAGGAACAACTTCACCCTTTATTTGTATAATAGTAAATATAAAAATTTTGTAGATCAAAATTTCTTTTACATATTCTGTAGTTATGGATATAAACAGATAATAATTAATTTCGCGGGCACTTTTTTTCAAAGAGAGAGTCAAAATCATCACAAGCTTAATAGCAGTTTTATGAAAACACATTTCAAATTTTATTAACTTACGAAATATTCTATTTAAAACATTGGAATTAATTTTATTTTATTTAATCCCGATGAAATTAGTTTTCGTTCCTTTCTCTCACACGAGATCGTTTATAAGCCCACATCCGTGATATCAACGCGACTCTACCGAGTAGGAAATTGAAAAAAAATTTTTATGAAACGACACGACAATTTGATAATATATATTACCGATTTTTTTAAATGAATGAAAAGGTTTGTTACACCCAAGTTAGATATGGATCCCAATTCAATTCAATTCCAGAATGAATAATTCTTACAACTCACATTTAATGCCCGCTCATCAATAATAAAGAATGATTAATTCTTCTGAATTGGAGCGAGAGAAAGTTAAACGATCGAAACATTACCAATTTATATTCACGTTGGATAGGGTATTTTTAATATTCTTAACTTTATAATATTACAATTATTTTTTAATTTATTATTTTATTAGTTAATTAAGTTATTAATTATAATAACAGAAGAATTGAAACCCTGTTAAAATATGTGGAACATCTCTTCAGTGAGTTATTGATAACTCCCGTTAATGAGCAAGAATTAAAAGATATCTAAATTTTTATTCGAATGGAAGTAAGACATTAATAGATTTATTCTTAATATAATTATATTCACTCACAATATAAATATTTAATATATTTATTTCTTATATATTTACTTTTAATATATCTTAAATCTAAATATCTTTGTATATATGAATTTCATACTTGCCGAGAAAATTAAAATTTTAATAAAGGATAAATTGAATGAACAATAAACTTCAATATGATTCCGAATCTCAGCAAATTATGAATTGTGAATGGTTTTATGAAAAAAACAGAGGAAAGCAACCGTTTCAGATTTCCAAATTTTAACCCAAAATCCACCTTCAATCTTCATTTGAATTATTAGAAATTCAAAAAATCAAATTATTAACATTAATTCTTATCTCAGACCTTATCGCAGCAACTACACCTACGAAATCCCAAAATAATTCGAAATTCCAATCATTATTCAAGATGAAATCGTGATACCTCTCTTTCTCCACGTGAAGAACTCACGAGTATCACCACAAGGTTTCCATCTCCTAAATTGATGCAAACTCAATATAACCTCAATCTAATAGTCAACAACTTTCTATGTCACTTTCTCCAACTCAAAATCAAATACATCAACACGCATCCTAATAATAACCATAATCGCCAATAAACTCAATATTAACAATTCATACCGAACTTCACATGATATTCAATCATTTCATTTGAGGTTATCCGTGATTCCTATTTGACTCAGCAGCAACAATTAATCACAATGAATCCGATCTGCTTCTCTTTTACAACTTCTCCATCATCAATTCAACAGCAGCACAGCAACAGCAACAGCAAAAACAACCTCTGCTGATTCTACACGATTAAATACTGTTTTATTCCGTCACAAATGGTTAATTATATTTCCAATCAATCACAAGTAGACAATTCAAAGACAAATGGATAATCACGTTACAATTAATAATAATAATTTTTAAAATAACGACAAATGATTAATCCAGGTCCAGTCCGAAGATTGAACATGATGACAGAATATTCCGAAGCAAATTACTCAATACTCTCCTGTAACGTCTGACTTTTATGCGATAACTAATAGCAATGATTTGAATAGTAAATCAAGTCCAACACAATGGATTAATGTGAACAATGGCAAATGCAATGGCCAATCAAGTACCCACAATAAGTTAGCAGCATATTAAATCAATCAACAACAGCCGCCTCGATTTAATAATAAAATTATCATTTATAATTTGCTAATATTTTTATAATTCGGTGGATCTTAATATTTTCAAATGGATAAGAAATTTATTATGATTTTTATAATTTAGAAATATGAAGATGGTGATAATTTTGTAAAAAAATTTGAAAATTTCTATGATGATAAATTAGATTTTCAACCTTTAATATTGTATGTTAAATCTCATCACATGAAGAATATTTATATTCACATTTGTATATAATATAACGAAATTTTGTTATGAAAAATTTAAATTAATATAATTATGACAATTATATATGCCGAAATATTATAAATTTGACTTTTTTCTCATTTATTCTTTATTCTTAGTTTATTATTGATTTTCAGAATTTTCAATTTTATTTTTATCCTTTTAAATATTTCCATTAATATGTTTTAATAAATAATATAATTATAAATATTGGCAATTTGTAGTTGATTTATCAGATTCCTGCTTTTGAATTTCCTTTTCTTCATTCATACGTTAAATTAAGTATTATTAATATCAAAAATAGTTGGCTCATTGGACTTTAACAATAAATTAGGATCTATAAATTAAAAATTTTATAAATAATTACTTTATTAAAATAATATTATTTTAAAAAATATTACCTGCTGATTTTCCAGATTTGAGATCGTCCAATCGATCATACAATCCATTAAGAGTATGAATATATCGGCTAATATAACATGATTGTGGATGTAACTTATTTGAATATGAAAATAATTCAAATAATTCTTGCTTTTGAGATTTTGATGTATTTTCATCAGAAATCTTAAGTTGTCGCATAACATCATTATCTACTATATTATCATCAAGTTTTTCTGATAATACACAAAATAAATTAGCTAATTCAGTAACAGTTGGACGTTGAGAAGGATCATCACTCCAACATCGATACATCAGGTTTAAATACCATTCTGGAATCAAATTTAACATAAAATCAGGGACCTTTGGTCTTACACCATTACATATATCTATTATCAAATAAGTGTCATGTGCTTGGTCAGCAAATGGTCGTTGTGCAGTAACTATTTCATACATAATTCCACCAAAACTATAAATATCACCCTCCCTTGTAAATTCATTTCCCCTTAATACCTCAGGTGGAATATATGGAATTGATCCATAAGCTTTTTTGTGTTCAGAATTTAAAATTAAATCACTTTCCAGTTTACATAAGCCTAAACATAAATCTATTCTTAATAAAACGTCAAAACTATTAAGATTGACATCAGGTTTTTTCAAAATATTTAAAATATTTCCGCTATGAAGGTCACAATGAACTAAATCTCTTTCATGTAAACATCTAAGACTCCATGTTATTGAATCTAACATATTTATTTTTTGTTTCCACCTTAAATTCCAAAAAGTTTTAGCTAAAAAATTATGTAAATCATCATCAAATGACTCCGTAACAAAAATGTAGTTTCGTGTAAAAGGATTTTTTGAAATTCCATAATATTTAATAAATTCGAGAAGATGATTAACGGTCTTTACCTTAATATGAAAATATTAAAAGAAAAAAAATTAATAAATTACGAAATATTAATAACCGTTCATAATAACTTGTAAAGAAACATACCACTTTAAGAAATTCAACTATATCATATCTAGAGTCCTTTATTTCTTTCAAAGTAACTTTGCAGCCTATTAAATCATTTTCCCAATTCTGTTTGATAAAATTCCATTTCCATTTTATTCCACTTTTTATTTCGGCAGAATACACAGATCCATGGCCACTATCTACTATATGTTCGATATTTTGAAAATCATCGTAAGGTATCCATTGTAACTTATCAGAAATGGTATTTATTTGAGATTCTTGTATAATCTCATCAATGTTAGCATTCCCACTAGACCAATTTTTAAATTCTTGGATAAAATGTTCTTTGGTACATAAAGAACATCTTTCATTATCAAAACTAACGAAATTTTGGTAATAAGAAGAAGAGATATCCTCGGAAGAATGACCGGCCGGACAATACTTGATTTTTTCTATTCCTTGAGACATGAGATATAAAGGAATATTTTTAATTTTCTTTAGTCCATAATAATATTGTGATATTGTGACACAAACAGATCGATAAGTCAAAAATTTAGCGTTATTTTATCCAGCATATGGGCCCATCTGGTTCTAGGGGTTTTTAAAAATTATTATTTGATCTCAATTGTGATTGGCCTGTTTTAAAGATAAAATTATAAAAAACATAAGAAAACTCAAAACTTTATTATGTTAACTACCTTTTAGCTTCTAATAAAAAATGTTTAACATGAATTTTTACATATATTCCCTATTTTATGACGGGTTATTATGTAAATAGAAGCTTTAAATCCGAAAAACGTCCCGACTCTACAACCGTCTAACCCATCGTCTCGACACCCAACCCATCGTTCAAACCCCCAACTTGCGTCAACTCATTTTATTTCATATTCTATTGCACAATAAAGTTTTTTTATTATGTTTTTTCATGTTTTTCACTTAGTTTTAATATTAAATAACAACTTTAATTAATAGAGATAATATATTAATAAACATGTTACTTTATAACAAAGTCTTGAAATTTGTGTAACAAATTATTAGTTGATGAATCAAATGCGCCCATATGGTTTAATAAATTTCTCCTTTTCAGGTTTATTATAAGAAAATTGATGCGTTTTCCATAATAAAAATCCATTTCTTTGAGGGAGAAAGCATGAATTTTTATTGTTAAACCACGAAATTAGTTAAAAAAAACCTTATCCCATCATTGGTTTTTTTTTTCATGTGCTAAACAAAACTAAAACATCAGTATTTTTCTTACTGTTTTCTCTTTCAGCTGAATTCAATTACCATCGAAATACTCTCTTTTCATTTCTATTGTTCCAATTCCATATTGATGAGAATAACTAATATTACACTGTCCCTCCTTCAGCTGCCACTGAAATGTTTCTCGTCATCTTTTGTTGTACCTCCATTTACATAACAGTATCCAGATAAACTGTCCATTACTGTTCCCTCCTTCGGCTGATTTCAAGTACTATCGAAATGCTTGATATGCATCACGAATACTGTTTTTTTATATTTACAACTTACTTTTTAAAGGCACACTTATATATATTAAATCATAAAAAAATAGTTTAACATTTATTTTTTGTATTAAAGAATTTTCTATAAAATAATTTACTTAAGAACCAGTGGTGATTAAATTTACGTTACCAAAGTTAGGGTTGGAGTTGGTGAGGGGATTATGTAATTTTGCTTAGTGGTTAACATAGTTGGATGCTGGACATTTAATAACAAAACTATTCGCCATATCGTAGTTTTTTATTTCCTTCTTTAATTCTTCATTGTATTTTTTTCACATTCTAATATATTATCAGTGCATGTGGAAAGTTCTATATATTGTTAATTGTAACTTTTTCATTTCATAAAATTAAAAATTACCGATCATATTCAAACCATCTTCGGATTGATCAGAATTAGCTAAATATATCCGTTATTATCTTTTATTGTTCTTCTATATGTAAGGTAAAAAATAAGGAGTAATTATCCCGAACAATACTTGTTTAAATCGAAAATAATCAGTTACTTCTTGATTAATAGACCAATCTTCATCAATAATCCACTTATATCAATATATATTTTATTAAGCACATTGTCTTTATTCAACTTAAAATATTTTTATAATCCATTATTACATTAAAATGAGAACGAAAATCAGAATCTATAGAATTATCAATATCAATTAAAATATCTTCAATTTTAAGATCATTTTTAGATTATGTTCATTGGATTTAATAATAAAATTTCTTTTCCCGTCAAATGTATGTAAATAAGATTTATCAAAATGTAGTTTTTATTATTTGTAATTTTTTTTTCAAAATCTAAACAAACCTCTATTAAATGTATTTAATTTTTTTTTATTATTGAAATAAAGGTGTAAAACAAAAATATTTTCCCAGGGAAATATTATCATTGGAAACATCAGTTGATATTTTACGTGATAGTTTATTATAATAACTCTCGTAAATGCTTCTTGTCATTATTATTAAAGAAATCATTTTCATGAATTATAAGTTCATATTTCGTTTTTTTTTTTTTTTATTTTCACCTATCGTATCATAATCCCATTTCTTTTATTATTTGAATTATCCACAGATTCTTCTAATGTTTTTTTTCTTATCATTTTCGATCAATAATATCTGACTTGTTGCTTTCGCTGAGATTATATTAAAGAAAACGGAAATATTTGATAATAATAATGACATTAATGTTGTTTTTTTGAATTTGCTTAAAGTATCAATTTTTTTGTCTTTGTTTTTGTTATTTATTTTTCATTTGTCCTTTGTTTTTTCGTTGTTTGTTTTTTCAACTGTTCTATGGCTTTTCTTCTTGTATTAACTTATGTATTGCAAGATTTTGGAACACGTACCATTGAAACATTCACAAATTAAGGGAACTGAAGGAATATTATTAATTACAGTATATTAAAGTATATTTTCTATATTTTTAAATTGATAGTTAGTATTTAAATAAAATATGATTGCAGAAATATCAGCTAATAAAAAAATATAAAAATTAAAAAAGATTCAATACAACATTAGCAATATCCGCCAGGGGGGAAAAACATTATCGATTTACATATTTTATTTTCATGGAGTTTTTTGGGTTTGTAGTACAAATTGATTATCATTTTAAATGAAAAGAATAAAAATTACTTTAAATAGAAAAAGATCAGATATTTCATTTTCCCTTCACCACCTATATTTTGATTATTACTTTCTACTTATAAATTTTCGTAATTTATTTTTTTAAAATTTATATAGTCAAGAATAATATTTTATTAATATAAATAATCGATAGCTTATTTACATGCAATATAATGTTAAAATATTTTAATATAACCTAAAAAAAGATTATTCGATTAATTATTTCTTCTAATAATCTATTAGCACTTATATACCCGTTTTCCTTTGCTTTATTTAACCAAACTATGGCCTTTATAATATCTTTCCTAATTCCATGTCCTTCGTAAAACCGTCTTCCAACAACGTATTGACTTAAAATATAATCATTTTCGGCTGCTTTTATGTACCATAAAAACGCTTTCACTTGATCCTGATTAATTCCATAACCATTTGAATATAAGCGTCCTAAATTATGTTGTGTACAAGGATATCCTTTATTGGCACCTTTGAAATACCATTTAAATGCTTCTTTTTTATCTAAATCCACGCCTATACCATTATTATAACAATACCCGGTATAATGTATTGCATCTATTCTTCCAGCAAGAGAAGATTTTAAATTCAATTGGAACCCTTTAACTTTGTCTTTTTCTATTCCTATTCCTTCCATATAACAATTACTAACATTAAATTGTGCAATAGGATTTCCTCTTTTAGCAGATTTCAAATATAATTTAAATGCTTTTTCTTCATTTTTTTCAACACCAACCCCATTAGCATAACAATATGCCATACAATTTAAAGCTATAACCGACCCTTCATTTGCAATTTTAGAATAGATCTGAAAACTCTTTTTCCAATCTTTTTCAACACCTCTTCCATATAAGTACATATGTGCTAGACGGATAATTCCAATTTCTTTGTTAATATTATAAAATTTTCTCAGTGAGAAATTCGAGAAGTTCTTCATATAAATCCTTTCATTAGCAGCTAAACTAAAGAATTTAAATGCCATTTGGCAATCAATAGCAGTCCCAATACCATTCATATAGAGATAACCTATTAAACTAGTAAACCAATAATTGGAATGATATCTAATCATTTTATATAAAATTTTGACTGGATTCAAATTATATTCTTTAAAATAATTTTTGAACATAAAAATTTGCACTTCTTCTGACTGATTTTTGCAAATATTAATAAAAAATTCGAATAATTTTTTAATTAAAGTAGTATCATAATTATTAGTTTTCATGGAATCAATCAAAGGATAATTAAATTGAATTTCTTCATCATTTAACTTTTCAAAATTATTTACTACATTTATATTAGAAATAATATTGATTTCGGAAAGATCATTAACAACTTCAAAGATGTCTGGTCGGGAATTACCATGGTGTTGCAAACAATCTATTCAAGTACATTAATACTGTAAATAATATAAATAATATAAATAAAACAATATGTAAATTCATACCAAGATAAATTTCCTTGTATTTAGAAGGAATTCCAGTTATAGTTTTTTCTCTTTTGTCTTTTACAATAATATCATTTGGCAAATCAATAATATTATTTTTCGTTGATTTTGATGCCGATAATGATGATTTTGTTATTAATTCATTTTCAAAAGGAGAATTAATATCATCAGAAATTTCCCAAAGAATGATTCCTAAACTGTAAATGTCAAAACTTTTATTAAATAATTCTAAATATCTAAAATCAGTATATTGAATAGGGATAGTAGTAAGGGATTTTAAATAGTTTATGCCAAAATCATTTAATTTAATAGTCCTATTATGAACAAGAATATTTTCAGAAGTCTAATTTGAAAGTTAAAAAAAAAATATATTAAATTATTATAAAATAATTAAAAAAAAAATTAATTAATCCATGAACAAATAATTACCAATTTTCCATGAATAATATTATTGTCATGTAAATTCATTAAAGCATTCGAAACTTGTTTTGCCAAATTTAATTTTATATTCCAATCCAATTTTTGGGAATTTGTTTTCAAATATTGATGAAGCGAACCATTATTAGCATATTCGAGAACAATCATAAAAATGTTGGTATTCTCTACAATAATAAATAATTAAAATAAATTAAGAAATACTTTATAAACGTTATAAAGTCAAACATTTATATTATTTAACCTTGTTTAGTAATTCCATAAAACTTAAGAATGCTATCATTAATTGCCAATTTTCGATGTCTTTTAACCTAAATAAATAAATAGTAAAAAAAAAAAGTTCTAAAAATAACAAATAATTGATTTATAGAATTTTTAACAATTAACTCACTTCATTTATAAAATTATTCAAAGAAATACATTTAAGAGCTACTACTTCGAATGCGGCTTTTTCTTGTTGAGAAACTATTTTTTTGATATGAGCTTTATAAACATTTTTACCATTTTTATTAATTAATTTTACATTTTCAAATTTCGAATAATGATAAAATGGAGTATCCTCATCATATTCTGTCCAACTAGCTTTAGAATTATTATTAATAGTAATATTATCATTTGTTTTTCTTTTTTTTCTTTGAGACATTTGATAACTTTAATATTATATATTGAGAAAATAAATAAAAATAAATAATAAAACGAAATGGCTTAAACTTAATATGTTTATATGCGGCGTAACGTGGCGTAGATAAACAAGTATAGGTAATACAATCACGACTGTAACACAAGGAAAAGACAATAATTATATTTTAAATAATTAATATATTTAAAGAAATAATGATTGTTATATAGAAAACTTTAGTAAATACTGGCATGGATTGTTTCATAATTTCTCCGATTAAGGAATATTTGATAAACTATAAATTTTTTTATGTTGAATAAAATTCTTAAAAAAACATTTTTTGTAGATTCACGAATCAGACGTTGGTTTTGTTCTTAAATTGAATTACCAGTGAGTGGATTCTTTGGTTTTCCGGTATTATCATATTTATTTAATCAATTTATAGTAATGTAAAGAGAATGCATCGGTGAAAAATGGAAATGGTAATCGACAAAATGTTGTTACAATTGTAAAGAAGTTGCTTGATAATTATGCCGAAGTTAAGTCAGGAAGAAACATCGTCGATGGAGTAATCCAAAACTCTTACATTCTCGCTAGCAGGAGAGGGTTATAAATCTGTCTATCACAGGTTTTGAATAAAACTGTATGTTGAAGTCGATAACGTATGACGCATTTAGTAAAGCTATGGCGCTATTAACACTCACATTCAAATCATAATTCAAGAACGGAATTATGTGATACTTGTCACCGTTTTCGGGATGGCTTCAATACGACACTCACAGGAAGGACGAGGTGAAATATCTGTGTATACCAAAAATATGATAGATCAGAATTTTTTATGACGGAAGGCAAAGTAAAATGTCATAGCATCTATGATACTGCTCATTACAGTTATGATTGAGCACCGCTTCTGAAGTAATCATGGCTCGCGTAAAGTACATTTATTTGATATTTAAGATGGAGCAGTACGTGAACAAATTAATCATCGGAAAAGCTCAAATGGAACGCTGAACATTGTATTCGACAGATAACGGCGAAAGGCATTTAAAGATTACATACGATAATGCAGCTGGACAAAAAAAAAGCAAGACAACTATTTTGATTTATTTATATTTGATAAATTGTGATTATTACAAAAGCATTAAACTAATTTTATGGTGTCAAGACATGTGATGGCAGCTTTTGGTTGATCAAAAAATTATATCGAAAAGTAAGTGCAGATTGATAAGAAGATAAGAGCTATCTTATGTTAAAAATAAATATATATGACTAACAAAACTGTAGCAATTGCCATTACTACTTCAAACGAAAAACTGCGCGAGAAAGGATGCAAATTAAAATCACTTGTGACCTGTGATGAATGCGTCAGCCAGCTGCAATTCGCTACTTTTTACAAAAACAAATTCCTTTTGAAGAAAGAATTCTTGTCACTGACACAGAATCAGGATTCAAAGTCCATGACTGTAAAGGATCAGAAGAAAAATAGCTCTGGAAAAAAATGAAAAAAAATAAGAGATTTAAAGTTCATTTTTTTCTATCGTTGGATAATTGCTCTTGGCTTTAAAAGACCACTGGTGATTATTGGTTTCCGTAAAAAAAGGATTTGATTCAGAAGGTAAAGAAATTCAATAAAATCCTTGATATTAATATTGTAAAATGCTAATTATCGAATTTGTTAGATTGCCCGTCATTAATGATGGAAAAGAGATTGGTTCGGAAAAATCACATCATCTCGCTGAGGAAGATCATCCTGATTTTGATATGACAATTCCATCAGACAAAAATTTATGCTTCGCCAGATTATAAAGATGACTTTCTCAAAGCTGTTCAAGAATATCAACAAAATCTAACTAATTCAGATAAATACATGAAGATAATAACTATGCTTTGGGATTTATTGTTCAACTCGTTATATTTTGAATTTATTTATGATTAAGAGAATAAAGAATAAGAAACAATGAAAATAAAATGGAAGGTCAGTATCATCTAGCAATTTTGAAACCCTGAAATCTTTCTGTGGCATTACGTTCACTATCTATATTAATTCTAATCATCAAATATAATCTTCATTATGCCAATAAAATTATTTTATACGTCTATGATCTCTCATGATGTTGTGACGCTTAAACACTTCCTGGAAAAACTTTTGAAGCAATGAAGATTTCGTATTACTATTTATTGATGGTTTGAACAAGAACAAAATCAAGAAAATGGTGAAATTATGTCTCATATTCTAGAAATAATTTCTGTTTTTTTCAATTTATCATTCTTAATTTTTTAAATTAGGTAATATTTTTTATTCATTGTTTTTAATTTCTTGTTTCCTTATCTGTGAAAACCAGTTTATAATATTATTTATTCGCTAACATTTTTGAAGGCTCACTTATATATTAAATCAAAAAAAAAATAGGTTAATGTTTATTTTTTGTTTTTTTTTTGTTAAAGAATTTTCTACAAAATAAATTACTTAAGACCACCGGTTGCGATGTGATGAGTTACACTTAAATTTACGTGGCCAAAGTTAGGGTTGGAGTTGAATGATCTCAGTGGATAATTTTCTCTTCCGATAAATTGATATCATTTTTATAAATCAGAAAAGGCATCATTTTTATCTATGAATTTCTATTTATAAATTCAAGAAATTAAAAATGTTTATTCCTTTTATTTCCCATATGAAAAAATAAAGTATTGCCAGCAGGTCATCTTTTGAGGATTTCGCTTATTCTAATTGCCGAAATTTTATTCGTTCAGGTGGAAGATTTGCTTTGTGAATACTAAAGAAAATTTTATCTAAGAATTTAAAACTTAATCTAGTGGGAATGATAACGTTGATGAGTATATACAAGAATCTCAAATAAGATAAGTTCCATTAGATACCTTGTGATAATTTTCAAAATATCGACCATATAGCAGATGGCGGCTACGGATCTGTGTATTCTGACAAATTAAAAATGGAATAAAATTGAAATGGAATTTTATCAAACAGGATTGGAAATATCGAGATTCTTGATATGATATGGTTGAATTTCTTAAAGTAGTATATTTCTTTATATTTAAAATATAAGTTATTTATATTTTGTAATTTATTAATTTTGTCTTATCTTTAATAAATATTAAGATAAAGACCGCTGATAATTCTGAATTTATTTCTATATATTATGTAATTTCTAAAATCCTTCTACACAAAACTACATTATTCATTTGATGATTCCAGTGTTTATTAAGAATAGATATTGGTGCTTATATAAAAACTGATTTAATTTTAAACTCCGGTGAACATAATGGCTCAATTCCATATATTCCATCCGAGATGTTAAGAGGAAATGAATTTACAAGGGAGGGTGATATTGATGGAATTATACATGAAATAGTTACTGCCCAACGACCATTTGCTGACCAAGCACATTTGATAATAGATATATGTAATGGTATAAGACAAAAGATCCCTGATTTTATGTTAAATTGGATTCCAGAATGGTATTTAAAGTTGATGTATCGATGGTGAGTGATGATCCTTCTGAACATCCTACTGCTAATGAATTATGTGATTTATTTTATGATATAAACAGAAAAATTTATAATAATACAATGGATGATGATGTTATGCGGCAACTTAAAATTACTAATGAAAATCAAAAAAAATACATCAAAATCTCAAAAGCAAGAATTATTTGAATTATCTTCACGTTCAAGTAAGTTACATCCAAAATCATGTTATATTAGCCAATATATTCATACTCTTCATGGATTGCATGATTTATTGTAAGAAATAAAATCTAGGATAAATCTTCAGGTATTTTCTTCAATAATTTTGTTTAAAAATGATCGATTACAAAAATTTTAAAATTTTTGAAAATTTAAATTTAGATCCTAATTTATTAAAGCCCGATGAATTAACTATTTTAAAGTTCAATTGTTAGGATATTTTTCCAAAGAGTTAAAATTTATTTACGAGAATAGGAAATTCAAAGTCAAATGGAAAATATTTATTCTTTAATATTTCAACCTCGGATTCCCAAAATATAAAGAAAACGTTATCATATATAAAGAGGAAAATATTGCATTTTTATATATTAATTTTATATATTAGAAAGTTTAAAAATACAAAAAAAAAAAATAAAAAATTTAATTAAGTATTCAATTTTTTCTAAATTATGGGAGCTCATTTATAGGAAACTTATTTAATTCATATTTTTAAGATTCGAATTTAGCATGCTTCAATACATTTATTATAAAGCATTTATTATAGGTTTATAAAATGACTTTGTTGCTTAAATTTTTTTACTACTCTATTACTCTGAAATATCCTTAACGATTAACGAAATACAATTTCTTCTATTTTACTATGAATGATATACTACACACAAATTTTATTCTACTGTTATTATTATTTTTTTAATTGAGTGTCTGTCTGATCGCAATAACTTTTGAGAGAAATTTAAAAAAACAATGAATATCTGTGACAAATAAGGAAATTATATTGTTCTTGTGTTTTTTGTACCACGGGCTAAAAGAGAAAAAATATGATTAATACCATCAGGGTAAGTTGTTCTACGTTTTTGAAGTTATTTAGCATATGAAGAAAATAAATAAGAATGGATGAAATAAGCTATATAATTTATTTATTGAGCTGACACACCATACTTTTTCTCTCTAAGAAAGAAAATTTTTATTTTGACAAACTTTTTTTTTCAGCAATTTGCTTATAATAAAATCTAAAATTAGTTTAATAAATAAAAAATATAGGATACATACGGTTCGATTTGATTATAAGTATTTATAGGATCATATGATTGTTGATTGGGTGCGTGTGATTTTATGTGATTATTGAATAAAATAATCATGCATTTATGTAGTGGATTGTGAATTCAACTCTAGAATTATTTATATGATTTCTTTATTTCTTTGTTTAGATTTTCTCATGAGTTGTCATGAGTTTAAAATTGGAAATATAGAAGTATAGAGATTTTGAGATTCTGAATGGACAGAATGGAGTAAATGAAATGCAATTGGTTTTTAGTTAATTTATTTTATGTTAGATTAAAAAATTCAAATTATAACTAATCAAATAGAAAGATGTAAATACTGTAAAGAATGTGAAACAAAAGAAACATTCCTAGAAAAATAACGGCATGTTTTTATTTATATTGGATGTGAATATAAAAAAATTTACATATTAATTAATATTAGAATCTAACCAATTATTAATTTGATTTTTGATTTTTTAATGTTCAAAAATAAATAGTTATCAACTTACAATATTTCAAATCATTTATGATATTCATATGATACTAAACTAATATGAGTATGTAAGAGCAAGAGCAGTGAATATTATTAAATATAAATAGATGGATGGATTTAATTTATTATATGAGCTAATATACAGTATCGAGATTTTAAATTAACCAATCGAATAAATTTAATATAGTTATTATTATTTAATAAAATTATAATTATTGAAGGAATATTTAACTTGAAAATAAATATCCGATTGGCTATTTCTTTAGTTTCTTTAAACTTGCAGTAAATATATTAGTTTGTTTTCACGTGCTACACTTAACGTGTTACACATTATATAGAAATCGGAAATTAACAAAGTAAAGCATGGCACAAATAAATATAATCAGAAAAGGTAATGATAACCATCGACTATGAATAAAATAAAAATAAAAAATACTCAATAACGAATATTCTTTTCATTTCTCATGTCTCAAGGAATAAAAGAAATAAAGTTTTGTTCAGAAGGTCATTCTAATAAAGATTTCGTTTATTCTGATAGACAAAATTATGTTCACGAAAGTGGAAGATGTGGCTTGTGTACTAAAGAACATTTTATCCAAGAATTTAAAACTTGGTCTAGTGGGAATACTAACATTGATAGGATTATACAAGAATCTCAAATAAATAACATTTACGATAGGTTACATTGGATACCTTATGATAATTTTCAAGATATTGAACACATAGCAGATGGTGGTCATGGATCTGTGTATTCCGCCAGAGTAAAAAATGGAATAAAATCAGTATGGAATTTTATCAAACAGGATTGGGAATATAAATTCAAAGGCTACTACAAAATTGCTTTGAAAGAAATTAAAGATTCTAGATTTGATATAGCTGAATTTCTTAAAATGGTATGTTTCTCTATATATAGATAAGTTACAAATACTTTATAATTTATTAATTTGTTTTTTAACATTTTCATATTAAGATGAAGACTGCGAATGAACGTAAATGTTATGGATCTCTAACATCTATTTATTATTATTATGGAATTTCAAAAAATCTTTCTTCACAAAACTACATTCTTGTTATGGAATTATTTGATGGTGGCTTACATAATTTTTTAACCAAAAAATTTTGGAATACAATGTGGCAATCAAAAATAGACATACTATCATCAATAGCATATGGCCTTGAAAACTTACACCAAAAAAATTTTGTTCATTGTAATCTTCATTGTGGAAATATTTTAATTTTCACCAAATACAGAATTACGCCAATTATAGATTTTGATTCATGTAAATTAAAAAATAATTTGATTTCAAATGATAATAACAAAAATAACACAATTTATGGATCATTTCCATATATTCCACCTGAGGTTATTAAGAGGAAATGAATTTACAATGGAGGGTGATATTTATAGTTTCGGCGGAATTATGTATGAAATAATTACTCGACAACAACCATTTGCTGACCAAGCAAATGATACTTATTTGATGATAGATATATGTAATGGTGTAAGACCAAAGGTCCCAGATTTTATGTTAAATTGGATTCCAGAATGGTATTTAGACTTGATGTATCGATGTTGGAGTGATGATCCTTCTGAACG